ATGAAAAATTTAACATTCAATCCCGGAGCTAAACCAATCAACTAATGTAGCAAAGTAAAATTAATTCACTTACAACAATTAATTTAAACAAAAACAATAAAATACCTTCAAAAGTGCTGTCATCAAACGGGGGCCCAAATTTGACCCGGGCAAAAATGGCGTACAACGGCAACCACGACAGGGCAAACAGGGAGACAATGGCGATCAGCATTTTGAGCACTTTGATCTTGGACTTTTCCACAATCCGGGTGTTCCAGTCGTTCAACGTGTCATCGCTGGACTGCCTAACGATCTTGGGCATTTTTCGGCGCCAGATTTTTATGAACAATAGTATGTAGAAGAATATTATGATCGATAGGGGCAGCAGGTATTGGAGGCCCAGATTTACCACCAAGAAATAATTTTGTGATGCTTTTTCGTTTGGCCACACTTCCACACAGACCTTGTTTTGAGGGCAAAATTATATGCTTTTAGTTTGAGTTTAAAATTTTTAATTTGCGTTTTTATTTGTTTTATTAAAGTTTTTTTGGTGGATATAAAACCAATTACTAAAATGTATGTCAAATATATATTTAATCCTATTTTATTGAGATAATATTGTATTTTATTTGTTTTTTGCATTGAAGTAATAATACTAAAAGATTAAGATTTCTATTATAATAAATGCCAAAACTTTCCTTAAATTTTAAAATATTTTTCTCTATAAAGTAATATATTTAATGAAAAACAAAATTAATAAATTATAGAAAAATTTAGCTTATAATTTATTATGCTAACAATATATGTCAAAACAATATGATAATAATAGTTATGTGACTACCAGTAAGTTTCTATTTATGTAATAAGTACCGGTATTATTTTATTTTTAAATAGTTAAATCTATTTTAAATAGTATTAAATTTAAAATTTCCCTAAAATTTTCCATACAATTGATTAAAATTTAGCATAATAAAAAATAAATGTTTAATAATATAAATGGTAACTCACTTTAATATCATCCATGTCCTCCCAAATGGGCACCAAATCAAAGTAGACAATCCACGGCAGGGCTACTATAAAACTCACAAACCATATGAAAAATATTGTGGTCCGTCTCACGCATACACTGAAGCCATTGTTAAACGGGTAATAAATGCCATAAAATCTGTGATTAATTAAAACAATTATTTTAATTAATTTTTGTGTTTTAGTTTTAACAGATAATAGAATTGTAAAATTTTAACCAAAATTTAAACATTTTTAGATCTTACAAAACTTTAAAGTATATGTAAATTTTAATTATTTTTAGTGAAAACAATATAAAGCAAATAATAAAACATAATAAAACACATAATTTGCTGTAAGAAATAAGTGTGAAATTAGTCATGTTTAATAAATTGTGTTTTTTGTTTGTGTCATATATATTAGACTCAAACGGAATTTCATTAGGAATTAATGGTAAAAAATTGCGAAATTCTCGTATAAATTGCTTGTTTGTTGAAATAGTTTTGTTGTTTTTACCACTCGTTTCGCATATATATGTAAAGCCAAAGTACAGAATATGCCGGGAGATCACAAAAATAAAATTCTTATATATTGTACGTTATATTGTGTTGAATAATATATTCTCTGGCCTTTTTCATAAAATGCAAATAGTATTTTCTTCTCGGTGTTTCTTTGGAAATTAAATATTTAGTACCACTTTTGAATTGACGTTTCCGAAAGCAATTCTATGTAAACTAAATAAGTAATATACATGTAAAGATATTTATATCAAAATTTTTGAACAATATTAGCTTAGAATAGTAGTTTAAAATATTCTATGTTGTTTAAAATGTTTACTGAATATGTTTTAGGTTATTTTTATATATTGTAATTTTTGAAATAAAATATAATTTAATATTGACTTACAATTTAAAAACATGCTTGCTTAATACAACATTTACTTGTAATATATTTGTAAATTAAAATTTATATTTACATATTATAATAAATATAGGGTTTTTCAATTATATTAAATGTTGTACTTTTATAATTTACAAAATTCATTGAACTTGGTTAAATTTATCGATTTCACATATTCTGCACATACTTTGATATAATAATTGCATTATTATATTTTATGAACAAAACAAATGTTCAAAACTTTATAAATTGAAAAAATAATGATTTAAAAAATCAATTTTTCAAATTTAAAGCCAATTTAGCACAAAATCCGATCGATATATTCATTATATATTATAATTTGGTTTATTTCAACAAATAAAACAAATTCCCAAACGTATTGATCAATTGAGTGTTTGCGAAAGATAAAAAACAATAAATATATTTTATATTTTACATTAAAAAAATTCTCTGCCCTACAATGAACTTGAAATTTGATTCATCGAGGTGCCTATGAAATTTGCCAGCTTAACAACTATGCTATTGACTTAAAGTAGAATATTCTCTTATATTCCGTGTATTTATAGTGCAATTCCTAATATTTCACTCGTGTTTTTGGTGTGATTTATGGGCCAAAATAAATCATTTTAAATGCATATAATTTCTCAGTAATGCTGACTATTGTGAGCACTTATACTGAGCCACTCATTAGGCATTCATGAAATATAAAACTATATATTTATCTGTTTTAATCAAAGCATTCATTCATCAAAACAATAATATATTTTCGTTTAATATTTATTTTATTCAATAAAATAAAAACTTTTGGGTCAAAAGACTTTCATATTTTATCATTGATTACATGATGAATGAAATATTAAAAATATTTTATGTTTGAGAGAGAGAGAGAGAGAGAGAGAGAGAGAGAGAGNTTATATCCACCAAAAAAACTTTAATAAAACAAATAAAAACGCAAATTAAAAATTTTAAACTCAAACTAAAAGCATATAATTTTGCCCTCAAAACAAGGTCTGTGTGGAGAGAGAGAGAGAGGAGGGAGAGAGAGAGAGAGAGTATTTATATTTAAATTTTATTTTGAAATCAGAAGCAAAACTCAATTTATAATGCAATAAATCTTTTAATTTAATAATAATGCATCATTTGGTCGGTTATATTCTGTATAATGTTTTATACAATGTATATTAGTTATTTTGTTTATAGTATTATTGCCAATCAATCAAAAATACATTGACTCTAAATATTTGCAACTTTTTTGGCAAAAACATAAACTTCACTCAACATTATATTACACTCCGGAAAACATGTAAACAATATTATGTATATATCGTACACATAATGTATAGATTCTGTACATTATATACAATGTATTTTGTATTGCTTTTAATACACATAATAACAGACATATATTTAAGAAATATACAAGAATTTTGCGAAGCATTAAGAGATTAATCACAAAATATGTCTTTTATTAACAAAATATTGTATTGAATGTCAAACTGATTGTGCATTTGATAAATAAAAATAGTAAACAACATTTTGAATGAATGATAATTAAGATGTAGACCATTAGGACTATTATATAGAAATTATTTTCTGATTGCAAAAATGTTTTGTAATTATTATAATGCAAATAGTAATTAACCCTGCTCATGCTTACTTTATAATAAATAATAATTAGAGAAATTAATATTACAAAAATCAATATATTAATATATCAATCAATACAATAATCATATACAGTGTACAATATTTTAAAGTACTTGACTTTATAGATATTTTTAAATATAAAGTAGGAATTATTTGAATACTAAACAAAATTTATACTATAAATTTAATTTATTTTGAAATTATGATTTGCTTTAAATTCAAATCTTTTTACCAATTATTTATTAAAAATTTTTAATAAAATTTTCCATAGTATTTGCGTTCAGTATATTTGACAGTTTTGAGACAGGATTATAATACACATTAGAATTATAAGACAGGAATATACATATATATAAGTTGTATATGTGTGGGAAGAGTAGTATTTAAATTGAGATTTGTTTATTAAAATTTATATATTTTTCATCAACTTTTTATAGTATGAATGAAAATCGCTGTCATTATAATAGATGTAAATATTTTTCAATTGAATGCATAGATTATTTTTACATTATTTATTTAATGTTATGGTCTATTTTTGCTAAATATAAAAATTTTCTCATTATAAAAGTAGTTTTACAATGAAATATGTGCTAAGTTAAATTAAATTTAAATAATGATAGAATTTAATTTATTAAACTGTAAGTTGTTTACACAGATTACCTAGTTGGAAGGATTGTATTCTCTCTATAAATATATTTAAATGCAAACAATAAGTTGAATACTGTTTGTCAAATATATTTTGCAATTTAATAAAATAAAAATAAAATAAAACTAATGTTTGTCAGAATAACATTGAATTGTGTCAACACTTGCTGTCTGTCAACACGTATTATAACACCATTTAAGCGTAAAATAGGTTTTTGAAAAATACAAAATAAAAAGGATATTGAATTTTTATAGATAGATATTTTACTCCAACATTGATTTACAAATGCTTTGTTCAGAGTATAGGCAAAAACTACATTAGTTTGAGTGACTGTTGCTTTTTCATCGATCTTGTTATAAGACAAGTACAGAATATTCTTGACATTCAATGCCAGACATATCAACGACTTTTAATTTTATTATAAAACTTTGAATATATAAAAAAAACTTTTCTAACCATGTTCAGTACATTGGACTGTCTGACAAGTGAGTAGCGTATGTGATGGCACACCACATACCGTTGCCGACCTGCTTATAAATCTATAGTTTTACACCAATTACAGTGCATTTGTTAAGCAAAATGCATACTAAGGGCGATATAAGATCTAAAAATAGTGTTATTTTTATTTTCTTTGTCCATAAATTTGCTTTCAATTCAATTTTTATTTTTCAGTAAAGTAATAGCGAAACAGATTTCATATCTTTAGCTTTTTTAATGTTAAGTAAAAGTATATTATTATTTTCATGATTTTTTTATACAGAATATTCTGTATATTATAATAAGATTATATGCATTCAATATTCGTACTGAGAGTCGATTTGTATTTAATATACTATTATTATATGCTATGATATATTCAGTATACATATGAACTGTTGATAATATTGTTATATCTGTTTCGTGATTGTAATAACAAATATCAAGAATATTCTGTATATTTGTCAGACTTTTAAATAAATTTATATTTAAAATATATTATATTATGGGTCATAAACCCAGATTTTTATAGATCTAGGTATAAATATGCTTGATTTGAATTTCAAATGCTATCATTCAATGAGTCAAATAAATATATACCAGAATAACTAGCTATTTATGCAAAATAATTAATACAGGGCGTAATATATACAATTAGTGTTTGGTCATCTACAGACTGTTTGTTTGGCAACCTTGGAGATAATGATGATAAATTATGCAAAATAGTGTATTATTTTGCAAAAAGTAATTAAAACTTATTTTGTAATTCTTTTAAAAATAGGCCAAAAGAATTAAAAAAAAGTTTGAGCAAAAAAGTTATACATAAACATCATTAATAAAAACGGCGAAAACATTAACGATGGTAACAATTAATGTTTAAAAAAAGTTAAGATTTGCCGCTAAAAGCAATATTACTGATTAATACAAATGATGTGCCCGACAAATTATCCTGTGCTTTCATTTTTGTATTTTCCTGTTTACCATGTATTTTATGTGAGATTATGTTTTAAGTTAATTCTGTTTAAAAATAATTTTCGTTTATATTTATTTTGTCTAAAAACTATTGTTTTAATGTTAATTAATTTAAGGAAATTGTATTATATTGTAATTATTTTAATTCTATATTTATTGTATAAACTAAATACAAAATAATTATTGAAAACAGTTATATTGCATATAAAGGCATTGTTTTTACTCTCAGTCAATAAATCCATTGATCACTAATAATATAACAAATTGTTATGTGTTTTTCACTGTCTATTATAACGTATATATATTTATTTTTGGACATAAAAACGAGACATAAAAATAAATCACCGGACAATA